AGTTTGAATTTGGATTTAGAGGCTGGAATTATTAATGAAACGCATATTATAATAGTTACCAATATTATGATGTTTTTCGAAACGCAAACTATTCGTATTATTTGTGCCCAAAACCCGATATGAATCAAAATAAATATAATTTGGTCCAAAATTCCAAAATCATTTTTTGGTTATGCGACACTTCTGATATAGTAGATCGTTGTTCATGTCAATGTATTTGACCTAATCCAAACCTAATACGAAATAGAATACAGTGCTAATTACAAACCCAAACTCAATAATACTGAATGCCAAAGTTTTGAATTTGATGCACGTCTCCTATACTGAGTCGATCCGATTTATTCTTATTATCTGAAATGTGAAAAAAATACTTTCAAGTCTCCAGTTTCCTTCAAATTTATGTCTTTTCTAAACGTTCTTTGTTTACTTAATTCTTACGCTCTTTTTGTACGCCTTTTTCTATACGTCATTTTTGTATGTTCTTTTTCAATACGTCCTTTCCAATAGTGTGAAAACATAAAATAAGGATATAGACTTTCATACCTATATAAAGACGAGTATAAGTTGTGACTCAACGAAGAGTACTATGTATTCGAAAGCCTCAACATAGATGTGAAAAGGTCAATTGCAAGAGCAAATCATTTGTAATTTTGGAGTAATTATATCTAATTTTTAAGTTTGACATGCGTGACGTTTCGCACACACAGAAGGGGCGTAAAAATTACGTTTACAAAGGGACGTATGCATTTAAACGAACAGAACGAAGGGTATCTTAACTACAATATATTTTGATTTGAGATTTTGCCGTATTTTGTAATTCTGTGAGAAAAAACTTTGATTTTGCTTTCAGAGGGTGTGAGTGTGGATATGGATATGGGTTGGGTGTCGATTATAGGTGATGATGTGAAGAAGAACACACACATCCACTGTCTTATGCAACTTATTGTGTTCTATCCGATCATGAAGAGAAAGGAAGAAAAAATTCTGTTGAAACTTTGATCTGCAAGTATTTTGCATATATTGGAAACAACTTACCATCGAAGGATGTGAGTGTTGTTCTTCGCATCTTCACCTACAACCGACACCCAACCCACATCCATATTCACACCCACACCCTTGTTTTGATCTTTGTCTTTATCTTCTCGATGGTCGTTTTAATCAACTTGATACACTTGATATTGATGTGGTTAATCTCCGTCGTCCTCATGAAATTCAAAATCAAGTTAGCTTTACAAGAAAAACCTCTATGTTGTCAAATAATAAAACAAATTTTGTTTTATTTTTTGGGCGATTTACCAAATCTAAAGTGTTTTTCTTGGTCATGTAATCTCGTAACGTATGATTTCGATGAAACAATCTTACTAGTTCTCCATCGAATGTCAAATCTAGAACAACTCAGTTTGTATATTGTGGTCTGTGTTGATAAAACATTTATTGATAAAGACAATTTAAAGAAAAACATTATTGATACTATGCTACGATTAAATCAATTTACATTTTATGTTCGCTCATTCATGTTTATTTGTAATGAAATGAGTATGCCATCAACAAAATATATTCAACGCACATTCATTGACTTTCCAAATGATGAAATAGTTTCTTATGTTGATTATTTTCCAGAGTAAAAACAAAGTCAATGTCATGTTTACTCATATCCGCTTCTAATGTCATATTGCGACAATATTACAAATTATTTGCCAGGTGGATTATTGAAATATGTTCGTTTTGTGTACATGAATTTTTTCTTCGAATTTCTCAATCATTTCCATTTATGGAACAATTATCTTTGATTAATCATAAATCACAAACAATCTTATGAATCAAACAATAATAATCGAAATTTACCTGTTATTGAATATTCTTTTCTTAATGAACTTTATTTTATCGATGTCCATGATGATGATGTAGAACAATTTCTATTTGACACAAAAACGTATTTGCAAAATAATGTTTTTCTTGGTATCGATTATGAATCTTTACAACGAGTAACACATAATGTTACAAAAGATACTACATGAATTAATTGTACCAAAATAGCTAAATTAAAATTATTCGCTCGAACAAAATGTTCGAATTCTTCTTCTGTAAAAGACTATTTTTCTAACGCATAAATACATATACTATCGTTTAGTTTACATGTTCTTTTGCTCTCCGATTGCTCTTTGTGTAAAAAAAAACGAGCATGTCAGTGTTTATAATTAGAATACAAAACTCTGCTACATCGAAAAATTGTTCGCTAGTGACTTCATGACGTGATTTGGCGTTGTTGAAAAAGCTATACTCATGCATCGACATGAGCTATTGGGTATATGTTGTATCTTTTCTTTTCATTATTAGTAAAAAGACCATGACACTAGATTCTCGTGACTGTGATGTTCTCATTTGAACGGCTTCACGTTCATTCAAAAAATACAAAGTCTCTGCTAGCTTTTCCTTCACATATTTAACAAGTCTCTAAAGTGACGATTCTAGAATGAGAAAGATTAACATTCTTTCGACAATAGTGGCAAACTTGTTGACCTCTGTGTCCGAGTTGTGCTCGATACAGATGGTATCTTGTTTTTGTTCCAACAATTCAAGAGTCGCTCGGACTTTCATACTGACTCCAGGTGTAATTTTCATTATCTTGACAGCAGATACCTAGACCATGTCACATCAGTCTTCTCTATAGTTTCCAGTCGACTATTTGTAAAAACATCACTTTCACCGTATATTAGAAATGGATGGATCAAATTCTTTTGATATATGTTCGTCAGTGCATGTATCGCCTGATTCAATAGCACTAATATCAAAATCGCCATCCAAATGCGACACTTGCTTATTAATGATATCGTCATTGGTATCATGTGTATCTGACAATAAAATATCTTGAATTTATTTTAAATTTAACTTATTAGTCGTATCTAAACTATCAAACTATCGGTATTAATGAATAAGATACAAACGATTCAAATAAAACTATTCAAAAAAGCAATAGGAGACTAGATATCAGTTTTAACAGAACGAAAAATCGTTTCTATAACATCGTAGCTTGTTGGGATCCATGTGAACTCATAGACTTATTCTTTTACTTCAAGAGTTATGTATGATTTAAGTTACAGATATGATGCACTAACATAAGACTAGAGATTAGATAAGGCGAACAGTGCGAAACAACAAATATGCATTAAGTAATACATGGAAAACTGCAAAGTGGGTCCGCTCGGACTCTAGTATGACCACGAAGGGTTAAGAGCTTATTATTCGAATTTACAGTAGCACATAGTCATTTTTTCTTCAAGAAGCAATAAAATATCTATTTTTTTTTAGGTGTCTTTCTCTTCTCCATATTGTCTTAGATTTCATATCAAATGAAAAAGAAAGATAATCGTGTCAAGATCGTTTATTGAAACATACAAAAAACAATAGAAAAGAAAATTCATTTCACAATTCAATATAAATTTTAAAAAAATAAGTACATATGATTAATGAACTCTTTTTCATATGATTTGAAATTCTCTTAAAACATTAATGTATCGTCTTGAAGAAAGAACTTTATTCAAAGACCTGCAACTTAGTTAGAAAATTATTGTAAGACTTTGTACACTAGTAGCTAATATTTACTTTTATCTTTTCAGACATACCAAAACACGCATGATGTCTACATCCACACTTTCTCATTAGACGCATTGTTATTGAATAAAATCTATCAAGAAACGTGATTTCTTTTTTAAATGTTATTAAGCTTCTATGTACTTTTTACATATTTGAATATTCATATTAATTATGTATTTTTACAAGTATGGGAGAGAAAGGAATTTAATTATTTTTTGCTTTTTTATTTCAAGTAGAATATACAGTATGACTACACTCATAATAAAAAACATGCATCAATTGATTATTCCAAAGTTCGAGCAAATATGTATAAAAGTACAAAAATAATCAGCTTGTGCATTTTTATCGTATTCTTTTTACAAGAAACAATACATATATTAATTCAATAAGATTATTCAAAAAATTCTAAAAAAGTATATTATTGTAATTTATCAAGAACAGAAGAAAATATAAAGATGAACTCGAGTTTTCTTCAACAATATTGGACTCGTCAAGAACATTAACAACCATTACCATTACACTCTTTGTCAATTTCTTCAAATGTTGCTACTATTGATAAAGAATTTAATCAAATAACAAATCCATCTGATGCTTTTTCATCAGAGTTTTCATTGGAAACTAATTCTCAATCATATTCAAACAATTTATTGTCGTCATCAACAAATGTAAAGATAAAAGAATTTTGTTCAATAGAAAAAGAAGACGAAGAAAAATATTCATTTAAAAGGTTAGAATGTGAATTTTGAAAACTGTATGCTTTTTTTTTCAAGTTAGTAAGAACAACAATCATGTCAAATACTAACTGTGCACAATGATATTGATAGGATAATGATAATAAAAAAAAAATGATTAGAATGCTTTGTACTATGTATTTTATTTATTGTAAAGATCATCACTTTTCGTACTTTCTTTTAGTCTGATACGTTGTGTTTACTAAATATCTATGTACATGTAAATAGAAATACGAACTATTTGAAGTTCTTTATCTATTCCTTGTGTAATTACTGTTTATTGGGCTAATTCGCTTGCTTTTGGCTACTAAAAAAAATTCAGGCTTTGTTGTCTTATATATTAATTATTGAAATACATTTGATTGTTTTCACGATTCCTCCACATATACCGATCTTAAACAAAATAGTCATTTCAATTTTATATTCAATTCGAAAACATATAACTGTTCAATATCTTTACTCTGGTTATCTTTGAAACATATTTTCAATCAAACAACAGAGTTTTCTAAATGAAAGAAAATGAAAATTGTTTCATTTTATTCAACAAAACAAGCAATAATCTGGATGTCAGTAATATTTTGTTTGATTTTCTTTTTTCTATTAAGACGTCTGGCAGCTTGTCTATGTTCCAGTAATTATAAGACATGTTCAGTTGCTTTTATTATCGGAGCTTTAATGGGTGCCATTGCTTTCTCCATTATACTTACTATTTATTTAAGCGATGATTGTAAGTTAATTAATCATCAATAAGTTTAATACATTTGGTTTTTTTTTCGATTATAAAAGCATATTCAACAACAACAAGTAGGTGATACAAACAAAAAAAATCGCGAAAACATTATTTGTATTTTCTATGTTTTAAACATATTTTCTTTCTTTTTTTGAACTGTAATATCTATTACGTTCTTTAGCATCAACAAGTAGCATCGAAACATCAAGTAATATTCACTTTTGAAGATAAAAGATATTCATTTATTTTCTTTAATATACAGGTATAACTACAACTACAACCACTTCAGAAACAACAACTCCAAAAAGTAGGTAGAATCACATTTCATTTACACTTGATTTACTTTTTTCTTAAAGCATAAAACATAGTATAAGTCCATCTAAAAATGTTTGCGATGTATTAGGAGAATAGTTAGAATGAGACCTGATACAAATTATTAAAAATTATGTCTAGAAATTTGAACAAATTCAACAATCATTAAAAAGCAGTTTGAATACTTGTTTAATCTCGTGTCTGGAAATATCTACACAACTTTTGAACGGTAGATTATTTATATACAAGTACTACTCAGTCGCATTTATCCTATGTTCTTCAGTATGCATTGGTTACTATACTCATAGAAATATTTTCTCAAAAAATACCTCTTTCCTCATCATTAAAAGATGTTTATGTTATTAGAAATTGTATAGTTTAGAAGTTCATTCTTTTTTTCTCAGAAGAACGACAATAATATATTCGTTATCAATCAGTATAAATAATTATTCAATAGATTTCTTTTCACAATAAAAAAAAACAATGAAAAAAAAAAATTAGTAATATATGTTTTTTTTTAGAAATTCTATGATGTTTTTTTGAACTGTGTATAGAGTGATATCTTGTTTTAAATTCTATTAAAAATATATACTTCTTATTATATAACCTATAGTGTGTATAAATGGTAATACAGCTATCACATTTGATGATCTAACATCTGGAGCAATTCCTCATGGTTATAATAATATAAACTGGACAAATGCAAACGCTTACACCACAGCGACAAATACAAGCGGATATTACACGGGTATTGTAAGTGGAAATAAAACATCATACAATCCTTTTGGTAATCCAATGATTATGAAAAGTGCCAACAGTAGTCTTTTTACTTTGTATTCTGCTGCAGCTGCTGCAGCGTGGTGCAATAATTTACAATTAACAGTAGTTGGATATAATTCTAATATGATTATTGTAAATAATACTTTTACTCTTCAAATTTATACTTTGACATATTTAATATTTAATGGATATTCAGGATTAGATACTGTTCAGTTTTCAACATCAAATGGAACAAGTACTACGGGTGGAACCTGCAGCGGTAGACAGTTTGCAATGGATAATATTTGTTTAACCTTTACATGAACTTGAAGGACAAAAAAGTTCTTATTTTAATTAATCATTTCATTGACTTTTTTTTGTTCTTCGATAACTTCATTTATGTATAATAGTTTCATATTTAATGCGTTCTGTTTAAGCTCAACAGGTTTAATCAAAATTTTATTCTTACAATATTAGATAAATAATAATGATGAAATGTAAAAATGTAGAGCTTTGCTTTTTACTATCAATCTATATAAAAGGAAAATTTCTTCGAACATTCTATTCGAAATTGAGATATTATCATCACTACTTTGGGTATGCTTCAAGTATCTATTTGTGGAATTTTTTTTTAAATATTTCTTGGTTAAATATGTAACAATAATGTTTTTTCGTGAAAATCTGCTTCGACTTTCAAACCGGCTAGTTTTTATCGGTTTTTTAAAATTAATTATTAAAGTATTGAAACTAGTATATTTTGCTCATTTTTTGTTGATTTCCATAAATGTGCAACAATACATAAATATGACCTTGCAAATTTCCTACTGACACAGTACTAGTCATAATCAAAAAATGAGCTTTAAATCTTGGGCTCACAAGTGCTGATCATATGAAGAGAGTCTCGGATTATGCTGAATCAAACTATTATGATCACGAACAGTTAGCCAGTTATCAGAAATTGAATTCTATCTCAATGGTTAAGATATTATTACAATTATGAAAATATGTAGATATTAAACTAAGAATCAATTCCTACTGATTTCAAATAAGAGAATAGATCAAACTTATCGATTCTTGGAACGAAATCTTATCTTCATTAGAGACAGTCAGGCGAAACAAAGCATAGAGGTAATTCAAATCAGTTCTTGTGAATTACTAATCATATGACAAATTTTCAAAGAGTTCTTTCATCGTTCTTCGTCATAGTCTATAGAAAACGTGACAGAATAAAATAGAAGTTTTACTATTAGAAACTTCATAAGTTGTAGAAGTTTTCACATTGTATATCTTTTTGAAGCTATAATAAAGTCAAAAAAAATATTATTGGATGTGAGTGATGATACTAATGAGGCATACCTTACCCGACAGTAACACCATCAAGTAGGTCGTTCAGAAGTTTCTCGTCGGAATGAACTTATTTCTTCAATCGATATTTGTGTCATTTTCTGATTCACACAAAAAAAGAGATTCAAAACACTAGTCCACAATGCAAGCAGACGTATTGGATGAAGAGAAAATATTTTCAATTGATCAATCACTTTTGCATTGAAAGTTAGTGAATTGTAAGTCATCGATTGTGCTGATTTTCAATGTGACTAAACGAAATTCCATTAGATCTTCATGTACTAATTTTGTAAGTTAACAAACTTTTCGTCAAAAATTGTTTCTGTACTTTCCAAATAATAGAACATATTAAATCACCTATAAAGCAATAACTTGACCTCTTTGAAATTCTTCCATTTTAATCAGACTTAGCAAACTTCAATCTTGAGATATCCGTAGATTTGCCGTAAAAAAAATATAAGTTTATTATTCGAATTTATAGGAGCACATAGCAGTTTTCTTTTTTAAGAATAATAATCATTACAACTTTTATCGTCAATCATTTCAAGATTGTTTATTAAAATATACATAAAATAATAGAAAAGAAAATTCAAGATGAACTAGAAAAAACAAGTATATATATGATGAATGACTTATTTTTCATGTGATTTGAGATTCTCTTAGAATATGAGTATATTGTTTTGAAAAAAAAATGGACTTTATTTAAAGAGATATGAATTAGTTAGAAAATTATGGTAAAATTGTGTACACTAGTAATTAATATTTACTTTTATCTTAAATTTTATTCCAACTATGTCGTATGTCATTCAGCTTCAGTTGTCATCTCAAGAAGCTTTCTTTTATTTTTATTAATTCACAGTTTCTCAACTTAAAAAAATCAGAAGATTCAGTAAGCTTAGTTTTAATTCATATAGGAGACACAATCAACGTTCCAATTATGATGATAACTTGATATGTTCTATAATCTGAATAGATTCAAAACGATTTTAGTAAAAAGTTTGTTAATTTGCAAAACAAACATCACATATTTAGAATCATCATAATCGATAAATTATAATTATCTAGACTTTGATTACAAAGCAATTTATCTATTGAAAATATTTCCTTAGTTAGTCTATTCATGACTATAGTATTGGAAATCTTATTTAAATATAACCGTGTTAGTAACATGTTTAGTTGTAAAATTTATCATTTTATTTAAATTTTTAATATTTATCTAAATATTCTTATGATTATTTTCTTTTTTGTTTTAATGACAATAGAACATATATATATAATTCAGACTAAAGTGATATGTTGTGCATAAACATGATGATAATTTGATGAATTATCATCTTTAATATCATGTTCATCAATATTATATCGAACATGACCTAATTTTTTCCATGGATTTTCATTTGAAAGAACTAATGTTGATGAAGATTTTTGAATTGATGCTTGTCGTATATGATTAATATTTGATCTTTGTTGTAATGGTGAAAGAAGATTCATAGTATCACCATCACCATCATCATCATCAATATCTTTTGAAGAAGATAATAATCGTTGTTGTCGTCTTTCATTATTTTTATATGTATCATTAATAATTAAATTTTTACTATAAATATTATCGGTTTGTGTTATCTCATCATGAATATTTAAAGAACAATTATCTAATTTTGAAGTACAAAATGTTACTTCTGTTGTACAATCTATTGGTGTTGATTGTCGTTGATTATTATTAATAGATCGTGTTATAAATGAACCAAGATGATTATTTGTATTTGATTGTCGAAATGATATACGTCTAGCTGTTATTGATGCTTTAAATTTTGAAGGAATATTTTTGGACGGATTAAATAGAACAATATGTAATTTTGGTGCAAATAAACATATAAGTATAATAGTTGCTGATAAACTTAAACAGATAGCAAGTGTAACAAATTGAATCTACAAAAAAAAATGAAGAAAATTTTTGATGTTCTGTGTTTTTTCTTTCTTTCTTTTAAACTTACACGAAACCAATTGTCACTACTTCTTAAACCAAAAAAAATTGGTATAAAAGCTAACCATATAATACATATTGAATACATAGCAAAACCAATATATTTAGCTTCATTATAATTTTCTGGTATATGTCGTGTTTTAATTGCATAAAGTGTACATGAAATAACAAGTAACATATTATAAATTAATGAATAAGCTATATATTCATGATCAGTTTGACATACTAATATTAAACGTCGTTGATTATGTTTTATTTCAGATTTTAATTTAATAGATGGTGGTGAGAAAAATAACCATAAAAGAACTGTTATTAATTGTACACTAACAATACCAGTACATATACCTAATTGTGAACGTGGTGAAAGACATGATTGTGGTGTTAAACGTTGTTTATTATTAAATATACGTGCTAAACGATTTGTTTTAGTTAATAATGCAGCAAGACATATAGTTAAACTTAAACTAACACCAATACGTATAAATAAACATGTTATTACATATGGTTTAAAAACAAGTGGCCATGCACATAAATGACAAGAACATATACCAGATAAAAGAAAATAACTTAATTCACGTGATGATGCTTTTATAATTGGTGTTTGAGAAAAACGTATAAATATAATAATTGTATATATAGTCATTAGAAGACCTATAGATGAAAGTATTAATGCTGGTAATGCAATAATATTTTTTATAGATAAATATTCTTCTTCAATAGGTATACATTTAGTAAAATTTAAATTTGGTAATTCTTGTTCTGAACATGGAATACAATATGTTTCATTAACAGCTATATGAAATATATCACATGCACGACATGTCCAACAACATTGTTGAGAATCTGTATTTGTACGTATTTCACCTGGACGACAAGATTCACTACAAAATGATCGTGGTGTTATTTGTGTTTCTGACCATGTTGAATATTGATAATTATATTTAGACCATTTTAATTTTTGAAGATCAATACGAATTCTATTTGAAAATATAAGATTGTTATATGATTAAAACTTTTGAAGTAAAAAAAAAAAACAAGTAACACAATTCTTTTCGGATATCACTGTTCTTTCTATTTTTCAATTTAATAATCAGATCATTTTGTTTAAAATTTACTTGTATATGTCTCACTTTGGAAAAAATGATTTTTAGAATACGTATTAAAATACTATTATGTATTAATTCAAAATATTTTTCTTCTGAATAACATCAACAAAAATCTTGTGAAAGTCGAAAATATCAAATATATTAATTTTAGCATTAGTTCTGATAAGTACAAGCTTATTGATGACTATTTAAAAAAAAGGCAGATAATACATAAAATTGTATATTACACATTTTTTAGACTTAGGCTTTTTTTTTGTTTCTATCTTTTCGAACATCGATATATCCTGTGAAGTGACTGTAGGCGAGCTTTCAATTATTAGGTATGTTATCTCCTTTTTGTTTTCAATGGTAAAAATCGTATCGCTCTGTTTTGTTCCAATCCAAAAAAAAAAAAACTATTCGAAAAACAAACATAGAAGTGTTTTTATAAATCAGGATATTCTCTTTCGAGTGTCTAATGCATTGGGAAGTGTTCTTTTGAACAATTTCTGATTCATTTGAGCAAAATTTATATGATTCATTTGTATGAAAATGAGCACAAATTTAGCACTATATCAAACTCTATGACATATCAATATGTCTACTCAATTATGTTAACGGTGTTTGATTTTCAATCTGTATAATTCCATAGAATTAAAATTTCCTTAATTTACTTTTTTTAAAAATTTAATTACAAATTTTTATTATCAGATTATACACATCGATGAGTATTGATTAGTTTTGCAATTCAGTACACCTATCATATATTTATTAACATATTATAATTTGATTCTTATATAAACATGCAATGTTACTATGCATTTCTAAACAGAAAGTAAGCTATGATGACTTCAATAATTTGCAAAAGTGTTATTCGTAAGATTATATTTTAATTTATAGTACATATACGA